ACATATCGCCAAGGGAGAACAGAAAGAGGCAAAGACCTTTATGCCTGTTGTTCCTGACATATAAGAAACAGAATGATGAGTAAAGCATGAAATTGCTTCTTTTGTTCCTTTATGAGGGAGTCACACACACTTGCACACACACTCACTCATCCCATCCAAACTGGCATTTGAAGCAAAAGCTTGTACACATCCTGAGATCTAGAAATCAATCACTGGGCAATTTGATTATTGCAGAGCAACTGTACTTGCAATGGCAACAGAAGTGCTTAAAAAAACAGCACAAACAAATTAAGCAATCTGGAAGGGTATGATGGTTGCTAGTTGCTAGAATAATTGCATTAAGTAGAAAAAAATGTCTGCGTATCAAATGTATCAGCATCATGTATCAATATAATATCATAGGGGTAAAGAAATTCATTCTGAATTTCATAAAAGCTGAAAGCAGTAAAAGGCTCTGCAGAGGGCTAAGTTAATATACCTGAAACAATGACAGAGTAATTACTTTATAGGGCCTTGTCTCCATAACTGGAGTAGTTATATGGCTCACAAAAACAGACACAGAAAATGAACTGCCCAATGATCTGGAAATGCAAAGCTGCCTAATTCATTCACTCCCCCACCACTTGGAAAGACTGAATACCTGGTTTTCATGAGTTATGTCCTCAGGAGAATTGATGCTGTTTCTCTTTTTTGGGGGATAGGGTACCAAAACTGTGAGTATTTGAAAACTAGCAATGAAGACTGGTTCATGGAAACCAGCAAAATTAGAGCGATATTTCAAATACAGGTGGATTTTAGTATAGAACTGAATGCAAAGTCAATGGCGACAAATCACTAGGCTGAGTTGTTTCAGTTGCAATAGTAATGAAAAGTGCAGAAGTACTAGGCCACTCAGCCTCTCAGAGTCTCTATGATTTGGCTCTGTATCACTCAGAGCTGGAGAGAGGTTTGCATGAGATTGTGCCTTTGAGGTGTCTGGCATACAGTGGGCTAAATAATGTTTCATTCTTCTCTTAAAATCCGCACCCCCAACAAGGACAAGGACTAGACTTTGATGACCATATCCAGTCCCTAGTACAGTATTACACACACAACAAGCATCGTGGGGATAACGTAAGGGAAAAAGGTTTTACTTCCTGGGGTTTACCAGAAATGAGCTGTAAACTACACATTGGTTAGGGTAGAAGTAGAAGTTTATAATTCCATAATTCAGTGGAAGTTGGCACACTGAGACAATGAGGGAAAAGAAAAATGAAGGAAGAACGCCATTCCCTAAGACTGGTCTGAACCTAAAAGCCTCAATTTAACTGGTGACTGACTATACCAGAGACATTTTATTTCATGTCCTTTTTTTATATCTGCCAAAGTTCTGAAGTTAAACGTAGATAGAAATGAGAATTGGCTTTTCAGTAAGGATTAAGATTAAGTCACAGGTACATCTGTTGATCAAGCAAACGATCAAATGAAGATGTCTCCCAGATTGCAAGAGAAACCTGGCATGTGTGATACGGGTTAAATGAAGGGACAAAAAACGGAGTGTGTCAGGAAAGCAAGTTGGGGGTGGGGAACTAGACAAAAAAGAGTGCCACAGATGTTGTCCAGGATTTTAAAAATACTAGAATGTAATTAACTGGCTTCAGAAAACATCTCTAATAATTTCACATTAACGAAGACGGGTGTGTAGCTGCTCCATACGACCAGTTCACAGTCTGAATGTAAACGGAAGTGTCCTTCCAGGAGAAAAGAAGTCAAGGGGAACGGCTGAACTTCTACATTACCAGAAGTCAAGGGATCTTAAATTAAATTATATTGGTGAATGAGAAGCAGAAGTTGATTCAAATTCTAAAATAAATTCAAGGTCTCATATAAAATGTCTCAGGCTAAACGACACCTCACAACTGTCCTCAAAAAATGACATAAAAAATCATAAAAGTATCAGTTATGCTTATTGAGTGTCACCTATCTTTTAGGCTCTACTCTAAGCATGTTCCCATATTCACTCAGGAATCCTCACGGTAGGATCCTTTTAAACAAAATTAAAACCATTACTTTATAAAGGAAAACCTCAGACACAAAGAGTTAGGTAAGTAACTTTTCAAAAAGCATAGAGTTTAGAAAGCATCAGAAACGGAAGCTGAAGTCAGGTATGAGGCTCTAAGTCAGTACTTCTAATCAAAGTGTCCATATGGGTGAAATTCTTTAACTCTGATAGGGCACCTATTAAGACACTACGATAAAAAGGAAATTTTTTTTTTTTTTAAAGGATGGTGTTTCAAAGTTATTTTCAAATTAAAACTTTGAAAAAGAAGTTCCTAGTTCTCTCTCCAGGGGAATTAGCTCTACCCTCCTGGCTCAATTACCTGCATCCATTCTTCCTCTTCCATTAGTTTCTTAAGATAATGAACACGTACCATGGTGCCACAAAAATGAGTTCCCAGTAATTACTGACAATCAATGAATAGCTGTTCAATAAGTGCTCACTGAACTGAATTCAACTGAATAAAAAGAAAAGCTCAGTTTTCTGCATAAGAAGAGATCGGAATATGCTGTCGAAGAACCATTCCACACCTCCGGAGGAGAAAAAATAATTTGGTTAAAAGTTCTGAACCCAAACACCAAGCCTCTAATATTAAGTATATATGATCCATCACATCTTTATACAGCCCAGCCTGTTCCACATCTTCTCAATTTACCTTCACCAGAATGCCACTTTTCTCTCATTTTAGCTACATCCTCCTTCCTTCAGGCGAGTGAGGGGAGGGTGGCAGTTTCAAAGGAAGGCGATTGGGTCAGAAACAACCTCTGGACCATTCTTCCACACCGTCCCAGCTCTGGCTCGGGAGATGGAGGAAGGCTGGAGTGGGAATGTAAAATCCTCTAATTTTACTGCTGCAGCCCACCCCTACATGCAAACTCTCAGAAAGGCGTGAAATTAGCTCAGCTTGTCAATCAGGGTGCACAGTTGGACTCTGGCTAAATTCTATCAAATGGAAGGGGAAGAAAACTTCTGAAAATTAAACTGAATGAGGAATTTTTCCCTCAGAGCAGGAAAGGTGCTTCTAATGGACTTTTCATTGGAGTGAAGGTTCATTCATGTCCTCAGGCCTTACTCTTCTGGAGAAGGAAATGAGAAAATGGGCCATAGGCCACCTAAGCTAGAAACACAGGCAAATAAATGGTACAAAATCAATTTGTCAGTAGCCTGCTAATGAGGAGCATCACACACCCAATTCTCTGTGCTTTTAATTTCCAAGTGATAGTTTAACCACCATTAGCTCTGACGGTTCCCATGATAGCCATGGGGTGGCCATGGTGCAACCCGTCAAAAAAAAAAAAGTCTGACTGAATCTTACAGAGGAAAGAGAAGTAAAGGTGTAGGAGAGGAACAAATCCCACAGAATCCAGGACCACATGCCCTATAGCTCTACTGGTCTGGCCTCCATCCCCCAAAGCTGTCTGTCACCTTATGACACAGAATAGGCAACTGAGTCTCACAAGAAAAACTATGGCAAAAGCATTTCATTTAGCCTAATAATAGAGGCATTCTCCTTTCTGCATGGCAGCACCAGGGAGTTATCAACTACTGATCAAAAGGCAACCGCATATAGAACTGGGGAGAGAATGAAAAAGATATGGCAACCACGAGCCTGCCACGTGCTCATCCTCTGAACTTAGCCAGCACCCATTTCACAGGCGGGCGGCCAGAGCTGCCCCTGTCTGTAAGGGTGGAGCAGGAAGCCAGAGTTTTAAATTTCCTACTCCGTTGTTCCCCTGTACCTCGCCCGGATAAAGTCTTAACTCTGCTCCATCCCCTTGATCTTCCTAAAGGTGAGTGAGATCACTGAATGCCATGTGGTCTGTAACATGCTCTGCAGCCCTTTAAAAAAAGCTGCTATTTAAATTCAAGGATACAAATAAAAATGAAGCTCTGAAAAAAACGGAAAAAGAAAAAAAGGTATAAGTAATTCAACCTGTAAGTAAATAGCTAACTCAGCCAATAAGCACATGAAAAGATGCTCAACATTGCTAATTAGTACAGAAATGCAAACCACACCACGATGATAGCACCTCACACCTATTAGGATGGCTACTATCAACAACAACAACAACAACAAACGCTCCCACCAAAACTGGAAAAAAAGGACGTGGAGAAATTGGAATCCTCATGCACTGCTGGTTGCAACGTAAAACAGTGCAGCTGCTTTAGAAAAGTTTGGCCGATCCTCAAAAAAATAAAAAACAGAATTACCGTATGATTCCACCATCCCACTCTGGATAGATACCTCCAAGAGCTGAAAACAGGGTCTCAAAGAGTTATGTGTACACCCATGTTGGTGGCAGAATTATTCACAATAGCTAAAAGGTGGAAGCAGTCCAGTGTTCAGCAGCAGGTTAACGGATAAGCAAAATGTGGTATATAACACAATTAGCCTTAAAAAGAAAGGAAATTCTGACATATGCTACAACATAGATGAACCTTGATAACATTCTGCTAAGTGAAATAAACTGATCACGAAATGACAAATACTGTAAAATCCACTCATATGAGTACCTGGAGTGGTCAAAATTATAAAGACCCAAAGTAGAATGGTGGTTTCCAGGGGCCAGAAGAAGGGGGAGATGGGGAGTTACTGTTTAATGAGTACAGTTTCATGTTTGCAAGATGAAGAGTTTTGGAGATGGGTGGATGGTGGTGATGGCTGTATAGCAATGTGAATGCATTTAATGCCATTGAAGTATATACACTTAATAGCTTAAGATGTTACATGTATTTTACTGCAGTTTTTTTTAAGGGGGTAAAATTAGTTAGCTAGGCCTGTTTTTCCCTCAAAGAAAATAAAAGTCATTCGACTTGTGGGCAGAGGACAGTAACAAAGAAAAAAATCAGGTCTACTGTGTAAAACCAATGTATGTTTTCAAGCTTTTAGAATTCCAGGCTCAGCTACAAAAAAGACTAACCACACATATCCACCCCTCTGAAGCCACAAGAAGCTACTCACCTCACTGAGGTAAATAAAAAAAGAGCAGGTGGACCCATCCACTCCGTATTCTGCGTAGCAGGGATCTGAACGCCACATATCTTTCATCCACTGAAACAATAAGATCCAGGTAAGAACATCTCTGAACCGCCCATTCTTGTTGGCCCTTCCCATCTGCTGATAGAAAAGGTGAGCACCTGTGTATGGCACAAGCCGTGGCCTCAGCTCAGAGTCAAGCTGAGGTCAGGATAACTGATGCTCAGCTCTTCAATGATCCACAGGTAATCACTGACTTGAGCTGGGCCTTAGCACAGGTGCGGAGAGTAGAGAGGCTATGGGACATACAGGGCAGCAAAGCCAGTGGAGGCAATGGCTAGGAGAGTTTTATCAAGAGCGAGTGCCTCATGGGACCCTTGCATTGAAAACCCCTCTTAGGAAAATAGTTTCACCAGTCCCGGCA